CGATCTTCCTTCTATTGTCTTTAACCCTCTCACAGTCAAATGCTAGGGATTACTGAACAGTTACGTATTTTCTTCATCTCACACTCCTTTTATTTCTGCAGAGGACATGCCATCGTGAGGAAAGGGATGAGCAAAACACTGAAGTTGAGCTGGGATGGAGAGAGAGAGACCTGAAGAATGAATGCTTCGGCTAAGAGCTTTCTCCCGAATCCCCAGAAGAACAATAAATTGGATGATCTTGTAGAGAAAATACTAATAACGGGCTGAGGTCAGAGCGGACACCTCACGCATCGTGCCTCCGCTCTCTTCCATTATCATTTCTCACCTTGTTAGCCCTAACGCCGGGCCTAGGGTCTGTTAGCAAGGCTTTCGTGGCATGATCAATACTGCAGTGAGCCTGGAGAGAGTCCGAGCGTGAAACAGTAAAAACAGAACAGACAGAGTGGACTCTTCCCAGCGAAAGAATGGTCAAGGGTTTTAAAATAATTGCCACTACCTCATCCTGGTCTGAGGCAGCAGATGAATCAAGCACTATCAGAGAAGGCCCACAATGTTCAATTATTCATGTATGTGCCTGTTACACCAGCTTGCTCTAATACAGCCCCCAGTTGCACCATTTGTGGAGAGCTGGCCAATCAGTGCCAAAAGTTCGATGAAAAATATAGGGCTCTGGCAATGTCTCTGTTTATCCTGCAAACCCAGCTCTGTTGTAAACGGAGTTCATCTAAGTTCTTGTATGAGATCGGATTTCCATTTTTGATGATATGCTGTCTAAGCAGATACAATTACGTGCTGAAAATTATTCAGTTCGGGCTGGTTTTAGTATTCTTTCATGTTGGCACAAGGTTCCCAACCTTTTTAGGTCGCTATTATTGGTTATCTCTGAATACAGTAATTGTAAATGATAAAAATGTACAAATTTTGAATGAAATGAATCTAAAGCCATCTGAATCTAAAGCCTGTTCTGGCATCAATTAATTCTCAAATAAAATGACTAGCAGAGAAACTTTTTCAGATTTTGGAAAAGTTGTGTTTTCTATCTGGAGATTGAATGGGTTGAGTTGCGTGACTACATTCCAAAAAAATTAAAAATTGGAGGTGCCATCTGAGATGACTAAGTCAGTGAAAAAATGCTGAAAATTGGCACTAACTTCTAAATTCACAGCAGAGCTGTATTGATTTCTAGGAATCTAGACAGCAGGTTCTGTCAACACTGTGGAAAAAAAAATACCAGAGATGACCACTTAAACTCCACTTTAAAACATGTTACACACTAAGAGTTTATCTTTACAAAGTACAAGAACTGCACGGTGTGAGTTTGTTAAGGAGTTTGTTTGCGGAGTCTGAAGTTATGTCTATTAAGCTATGTTTATTAGTTATGTCAGAGGAGCATTGCGTGAGATTGAAAGCAGCCAACAACATATGGAAGCAAGCAGTCCTCTACAGGATCCATGAGTAGAAACTTTGTGTTTTACTTGACACTACTGACACTGCAATGATCTAAATGTTGGGTGAGTCATGCTATTGTGGTCATGAATTACATTTAGTTTTATGAAATTAACTTTCATGGAAAACTAGTCCTCTTTTTTCCCAGGCAATACTAGGTTCACTAAAGTGGCTGTAGTCACAAATAATGCATTCTACTGCCTAAAAGCATACATGAAAGTCTTAAAGGTGAATGCCCAACTGTGGGGATTTGACCTGCCTCTTCCATGTCTGCTGTCAGAGACCTTCACTAACGCTGCATTACTGCTGACCTGAGTTTTGTTTTCTTGAAGAAACCTTAAAAAAAACTGGCAAGTGTCCTCATTTTGAAGGAAAAACTGCAGGCCTGGTCTCTCCCTGAAGCTGGTTTGAGGCATTTAAGTACAATGCAGAACATGTCAGTTTCTACTAAGAGTTCTTGCTGCATGAGGCTTCATCATCCCAGACAGTCACGAACAACCCCCACTTCTGGAAGAGAAGGTACAGGCCCATATTGTCAAGTAGTTTTGATGTCAATTCAGATCATATCAATTCAGGATCCAAGAGGGGAGGGAGGTGCTTGACCATCTCCATGATGCTTTCCACCAGGCCCTCTCAAAGCACTGTGATGCACATCCAACCAAAAAAAAAAAAAGTTGAGTGAACTTGAGTGGGAGATTTCCAAGAGTTTTGCCAACTGCTGCAACAGTTGTTTTGTACATTTTAATCTATACTAAGGTTTTTTTTTTTTTTTCCAAAATGTTTTCAAAACATTTCCAACCCACTCTATGACCCATATGACTCTTTACTCGCAGACTGTGGGTTGTTGTTAAGTCCAAAATATTTGATTCTGCCTTGTCCTTCAATTAAAACCTTTCTAAAAGTCTGCATTCCATTTAGATATATTCAAAAGCAATCCCCACAAAATTTGCCACACAAACTGTTAAGGTCTGACTGAAAATATAAGGGAACTTGATCAATTTTCTTGATAATGTTGGAACAGGATATGTTTAGTACAGCCAGGAATGGCTCAAGACTTGGTGGACTTTCCCACATTTTACATTAACCATCTATTATTAATACTTAAAGTATTTATCATTAAACACTATCATTAGTGTTTAAATCTAACGTCTATAGTATCTATCCTACTTGCCTCTTAGAACCTCACTGTGAAAGTTTCATTTAAAAAAACATTTTTTTTTAATTTTTTTTGCCAGTTATGTGAAAATGTGGACAGTTGTGCTTTAATGTATTCATCTATCTGATATTAGAAAATGTACACATGTTTTGCAGCTTAGTTGTAGTAGATTCTGAAAGTTACAGACATTTTTATAGTTCATTATTATTATTAAAAGACCAAGGAAAACTACATTCAGAAGCACACAACTCTTTTAGGGCCTGGGGTGGCAGGCAGTTTCTTGTCTTGTGTCGCCATGGTATCAGATAGTGCTTACTTTGATTCATTAAATTGGCTTTAAAGGAACTTGATCACGTACTTGAGATTGGCCACTTTTGCGAACCCCTTAAAATACACTGCAGGATATAAAGTAATTGCCTCTGATTTTCAAGCCACAGGAACTATTCCAGCAGAAGATCAGTTAATGTTCCTTTCTTTCTCTCCAACTTCTTCATTTAAACTTTTTCTTCTTTTCTTTTCTCCGAATCAGAAAATTATCCATCTGACTAGGTCTTCTTGATGCTACTCATGGTATTCTGCCAAGATCCAAATATGATGGACCTTAATAAAGTACAAATGGTTCCCTAGGAAAATACTTGTGGAGCAAGTGTCATGACACAGTGTGAGAGGAGAGACATTGAGAAACAAGTAGTCAATTACAGAGGGACAGATAAAAACTTAAGCATGGAGTTCTTTGTTTTGAAATCAGGGCTTATCTGACAAAATAAATAAAAATAAAAATAGGTAATGAATAGCATTCTTAAAGGAATGGAATTACAAGAAATAAATACATACGAAGAGTTCCAATGCAAAAGCCTCTAAAAGCCAGCTTGGTCCAAAATTAGATAACGATACTGATTGAATGCTCTCCACACACAGTATATGTTCATCAAGTACTTTCACTTCAAATGCGCTAAATCCCAGCCCCAACCCATTCAGAAGTACCAGTACTTACATAGAAACCTATACATAGTAGCCAGAAAGAAATGCTAATTTTAAAGAAAAACATCAGACGTACTTAGAGGCTTTTGCATCTGAACTCTTCATACATACATACATACATACATACATTAAAAAAAAAAACACTTGATCATAACTTCCATAACTTCTTCCTTGAGTTTTTGGTAATATGTGTGAACATGACTGAAACTAGTGTTGAGTAAAGTGTTTGTTAGTGGCATACGGTGCACAACAACGTTTTCTTTACGTCCAAACTAATTGCTCAAATACTCTGAGCTGTGACAACAAGGACAGCAGACAAAGAAAAAGAAAAAGAAAATTTCAAGCTTTCAAGAGCCTGTCAATGGAGAAACATGCTTTTTGTCGCCATAATAGCAGTAACAAACTGCACCACATATTAGAGGTGTCGCAATACACCAGTATTGATGACAACTGAGTTATTTAAAAATAAAATATTGATATTGTGTTAATACTACATATACAATAATATCATAAATAATCCAACACCAGTAACTACCTGGTTGACACTCCAACATAGTATGTGACAGTATCGCACCTTAACGCTGGTTGCCACCAACAGAAAACAGAAAAAAGAAGGTGATGACAAGGTGTGGAACTACTACTGCCAACCAAAATCATGTAGCCGGAGATGACAAGTGTGGCCGGGGCCTGGAATGGCCCAGCTAGATTTCACCAAATAAATTTAAACAGAATCTTAAATAAAAGCTATAAAATTAAAGAATGCCTGACTACGCCACCTTGGGAATTTCACCCAAAGAATCTCCGTAAACTTTGCACAAGTCCCCTACCCAGTGGCAAGCAAAACGTGGAGACACAGGTATCAAACACCAATCTTTTATTAAGGTAGCATAAAATCAATAAAATAGAAACATCAACTCAGAAAGGTTTATACGATCGTTAATCATTCAAAATGTCATGGAGCTGAGGCCTAAAGTACAGGAAAGACTTTCCAGAAAGGGCTCCTAATCTACATAACACACTCACATACCAAAATAAAAACCCCAGTGCATGCCAAAGGCCACAACACACAATGAAGAACCACCACCACCGTCTAAAGAGGAGATCATCGACCCTGGTCAATAAAGGCCAGCAGCTCGTAAAGAAAAAAAAAAACTCAAACACACACACACCCCAATTAATACGAATCGTCCCAGATCACAATCTACACAAATCTCAAATAATACACTTTAAATCAAAATCACAACAAAAAAACTAAGGTAACTAAATTAACAATACAAGATTTCACAATATTAACAAAAGCAAAAAAATATAATCCAACTCCAAAAATAAATATAGCTTATATACAGAAAATAGACTAATTTGAAAAAGAAAATAGAAAAATCAAACAAAACTAAAACACAAAATAAAGACTCAAACTTTCAGGCACAAACCCTGTACACAACTAAGACAAAGTCCGTTGGCATAGGTCTAACAACACGACCGGGACTCAACGCACACACAGACTCAATGAAGTTCGACCTGGAACGAGACAGCGGTGACGCCACTGCAGGGATATTATCCACCCAAATGATTTCTGCGGGAAAAGGATGAAGCCAAATGATTAAATACACAGCCTATATACAACAGCCGACACCCGTACACAAAACATTAACTGACATAAATTGCGATTCGCACCCCTTCCATGACTGAGAAGCGTATAATAAAAAAACAAACCCATACCTGGAGGAGGACCGATGCGATCACATTCATCAGCCGAACAGCGCAGCCGCGGCAAAACGCCAAACAAGGCTGTACACGCAGCCGCTCTCCTAACAACGAGAGCACAGACCAGATACTAACGCAAATCAACCAAAACACCAAACCCAGAATAAAACAAGCCGTGCAATACACCAAAGGCTGCCTTAACCCACCTTTACTGACCCACGGTCACGTTCAGCAGAAACTGCGGAAGCCCAACCTCATCCGGGAAATGATGCCTGCCCAGATACATAAGCCAATGGCTTTTATAGACTGTACCAATCAATGCCGCAAAAATCCCCGCCCTAACAATTAAATTCGGGAAGTCACGCCCATCTTACCCACTATGCCACACAAGCAAAAGCAAGACACTCTATCCACACCCGGAAAAGTTCACCAGTTTGGAAGCTTTTTGGATTCCGTAAAAAAGATGGAATGTTAGACACCTCAGTCTGCAAGAAGTGCCTATCAACTCTTTTTGTTCTTCTGTACAGCTTATGCTTACAAACTCTCTTTCTGCCTCACTACATTCGTATTTTGAGCATAATTCATTTGCCAAAAAAGGAACACAATAAACAATGTTAAACATTAATTTGACTGATACCGTTATTAATAGTAGTAGTAGTATACAGTATATCATAATAATATCATTGTTGTTATTTCTTTGGGACATGATGATAGTGGAGTGAAAATCTGATAGTTTAGTGGACATATATTTAATAAAAATGAGTTGAACTATTCTTCCATCACTGGAGGATATTTTGGATGATAGAAACATTGGCAAGCAAAAGGCGGAAATATGACTTTTGACGTGCATCTCCTACTTTTAAAAGGCACTACTCTTTTTTTCTGCTTTTGGTAGTACTACATCTTATAACCTAACCTTTATTCTTTCAAAAAGAAAAGCAATGTTGGTCTCAGTCCAGCTTTCCTGGAACAAACTCATCTATAAATACCGGTTACTGTCTTAACACCCAGGATGACCTCTTTCTACACCTTCATCATCTTATCTTAGAGACCACCCTGCATATCATTACACTTCCTCTGCACTGGTCTGCCCCTGTAATTATCCCCAGATTTTACACCTAACCTTTTGGTTCCCACTCATTTATTACCTCCCGCCCTCCCGTTCCCCTAATTGACTACAACCAGGCACAGTGACATTTAGACTGCTTGTCCAGATTCTCCACATTAGAGTCCTTCTGAAAAAAGGAGAAGTTGACTAATGATAATTATGATGTGTGATTCAAACCCACTCAGAAGGTGTCAGACCTTAAGTGACCCAGTAAGGAGCCTGGTTATTATATTTGTTCAGTACCAGATGGCACAGATGAAGACACATACTGGAGCCTCTATATTTGGGTCAATATGATTAAGGAGGAGAATTCCCAGTGCAGAGGAAAAAAAAAGAACAAAAAAAATTGTCGAAAGTGATTGTTGAGAATTTCAAGGTCTACCTTGTTCTGGCCTTCATGTAGAGCCAAGTGATATAAAAAAATAAAAAAATAAAAAAATAAAAATACCTTTTTCATAATGTATTTTGATTAAGATTAAAGTATATATAGTATATTACTATAATATCATACTAAAAATATAAAAAACACTACTTTAGTTATATTAAATGTATTGCACATGATTGAGAGCCATTCAGAACTGAATTAAGGAATGTCTTTTAAATTCATGTACACTTGAATTGAGGTCGCAACCAGGATGTAGAATTGCATTTCAATTTTTAATGCAACAAAGTACAATTAAAATAAACTGAAATTCAAAGAAAATCATAGATAGATAGATAAGATAGATAGATAAAGATAGAACCTGTAAATACACTAATATTATTCTAAAATAATTATGATGCCATAACTGTGTCATATAACATAACACATATGGACACTTATACAAACAATAAAATAGTATGCCATACTTACTAAAAAAAATTCCATTAGTACCTTCTAGATCCTCTTCCTCTTCCGTCTCCTTTCCCTCCTCCTCCTCCTTTTCACCTTTTTGTTTTCCCAGAGTTGAAAGCAGCCCGGAAGGCTTGCATTTGATGTTTTAAAAGGTACTCACGGAAAGAGTGCTGAGTTTGCATCAACTCTAAAGACAGATGGCATTCAGTAAGTGGAGGAGGCAGGCGGCCCAACCTGGCTCACTGATGAGAACCATTCTGAACTCTCACCGATTGAATGCGAGCCATAAGAGAGCCTAAAGCAGGAGAAACAGAGAGAGAGAGAAACAAGATTGATAATGATGCTGTGTGCACCAAACTCTCACTTCAAAGCCCACCTCCAAATTCATCTTCAGTTGTTACAGAATAGACAAGAGCACAGACTACTCTAAATGAGTTGTGAATAACTGGAATTATTGGTCTTTCTAGCTTTGTAACTATAGCACATTTTCACAACTGTCACGTTTGAGTTCCTGTTCTGTTTAGTTCATCATCTTGTTCAGTTCATTTGTCTCATTATTAGTTAACCCTCCTCACCTGTGCTACCCTCATCAAGTCACCTATATAAGGTATATCCTTTATTCAGTTCAAATATTTGAACAGTCAGCCCTGAACTGTTTTTACGTGCAGCGAAAAGGAAGAAAGTCACTGAGGAAAAGGTGAAATTCTGCTAGAGTATGCCTTCAAAACCCCAACGTTCCCTTTCAGTCGGTCACTCTCGACGTCACGTCGGATGACCGACGAAATTGGGATCTCGCTTAGAGAGACCAATCCACTTCGAGTGTAAACTAAACGAGCCAATGCACATTGGCATGCGATTATTGCATCCAGCTGCTTCTGATCACAGCGTGAGTATAAGTAGGCAGCAGATGCAGCGCATATTCAGCTTTTCGCTGAGGAGCCGAGCGATCACATCGTTCTGCTCCTGACTACTCTACTGAGAGAAGAAGACTGAACGAGTTCAGCGCGCTCTTGGAGGATTGGTCTCTCTAAGCGAGATCCCAATTTCGTCGGTCATCCGACGTGACGTCTCCGTTCCCTCCTTCAGGGAACGAGGGTTACCATACGTAACCGAGACGTTCTTTACTCACAAGTAAATAAGAAAAGAGCAAACTAAGATATGCTCTTAGAAGTTTGATGTTTAGGTGGTATTTCATCTAAAGTATCTATCGTTGAACTAATTCATAATCTTCACTTGGAAAGGGGACTGAGTACAAACGGCACCTCCTGTCTTTTCAGCCTGAAAATATAAAAAAATAAATGACTGAATATGAAAATTGACATAATATAAGAAATGACAGCTTGATTAAATGTACTATTTTCTAGCATTTTACTTGCCAGTCTATGCTTCACTTGAGAAAGACACAGGGAGTGAGGTTATCAAACTCAAAGACTGCTTTATAAATTTTATGAGATCATTGAGTTTGAAGAGAATTCATCAAAGTGAAACAAGGCAACAGACAGAGAATCCTCCCAAAAGCCTAATCATCTGATTAAATTGAGGCAAAGATATTTTTTTTAAAACCGTGACTTATAGGTACTCAACCTCAGCTCTTCATTTTATCTTGAAAGCTTTAAGCTTATAAAATAGACAGTTGAAAATTAAGCTCTTTGGCTGATTATGTGACGGACTTTTTCTAATGCATCTAAAGAATTGCAGCCAATTAGCTTTAAGAAACAGTCATCCCGGTAGTGTCATTAATCTGTGCCACCAACAGGGTGTGTGAAATAGTTAGCTGGGATCTAATGACAATAATCAACAATAATTAAAGGGAAATGATCACCATTTACCAAGTAGCGTCATTAAGGCTGGTGCAGAGCACTTTGTGTGACCTCTTAGAAAGAGAACCAGAAAGTACATATAAACAATGTGAACTTGTCATTCTGTTATTTTAAAACTGACTGTGATCCAACAAAGCGTGATCCAAAGATTTTTGTCTCTCTCACTACACTTACAGATGTTAGGGTGAAAACAGAATAGAGGCTTGACTTCGTTTTTTTCATTCAAACAGACAAGTTTGTGAATAGGACAATTCGAGACACCCCTGTTAGTAAATGTGATTGTCAATTCCAAACACTGACTTATAGCCAAACCTCCCTGTACATACAATAGCAGAAAGTAACATATTCAATGAACAGATAATCAATCCCCTTCTCTAATTCATTAGTAACTGCTGAAATCATATTGACAGATAACTATAGTAAGTATGAAGACAGTGCAGGAAGTCTTTAAAGCAATACTAAACTATTCCTGCTGTGTTCTTC